AGGGTCGGGTCGGACCAGGATGCTAAGGGACCCTAGAGATATGGGGTTGGGCAAGGTGGGGAGGTGGTAAGCCAGGAGGGAATTTATAGAGAAGGGTAGCTTTTCCCCTGCCTGGTTGCTCTCTGCACAGGTCATATCAATAGGATATACATATGGTATATACATAAATATCCCTATTGCGAGGAGGGGACATAGTTCAGTGGCACGTGCTTTCATGCAGGGGGACCAGGTTCTGTGTCCAGTATCTTCAGGTGGGGCACAGAAAAACTCCTCTGACTCCTGTGCAGCTCCAGTACTTCAGTCCGGGCTCCTGCTGCAAAGTGGGCAGTGGTCCATTAATGCCCGTGTTACCTGCATTTTAAGGGGACATCGCTTCTGCCCCTGCAAATTTGACTCTGAGTTTTCTGTTTTCCTCCTCCAACTGCATGAAATGAAGCCTGCTCTGTATGTGCGGCAGAGTGGGATGGACCATACCTCTTTGGGCTGCCTAAGGGAATTATGTTTTGAATGCTTCCCCCGCATTAAAACAGCAACATGAATAACAACGATGAAGAGAAGGCTGGGCTAGACTAGTTCCTCACCCCTGTCAAAATCTTGGTTTTATTTTTAACATGAGCATTGGCAACAATAAAAAGCTCTTCCCGCCCCCTCTGTCTCCTCAAGATTTTACTACTTCATTCTGTCGCATGTGTAGCCCATACCTGAGAGAGGTTGCATGCAGCAGGTGAGAGTTCTGGATGGAAAGGTAAAAAATGCAGGTACTTGCACACATGCAATCACAGAGACTCGCAGTCACTTATGTTGATAGTACTCTTTCCAAAATATGTACCTACAAACTTGATTTTCTTTTTAATGAAAGAAAGTTGAGATTATCAAGAAGTTGAATTCCATACCTAGTCTAAAATTCTGTTTGCTTGTTTGTTTGGGTCTTCCTACATCCACTGAAGAATTTTGTAGCAGTGGAAATAGGCTGAGGGAAATATTCTGTATGTAAAGGAGTTATCCGTATATAAAAGAGTATTCCATGTGATCCTGTGTCTGTAAGTGCTTCTGGATTGTTTATATGTACACAGATAAATATGTTACTGCTTGGTAAATACAAATATTTTCATCCAACCAATGTGATGTTCATTGAACAGACACCAGCAAAAGACAAGATGCGAGTCCAAAACCAGAATATCTTTATTAGCTGATAAAACACAGATTCTGATCATTTAAAGACACGGAGTCAAGTGGTCCCAGTGGCATTCATATACCTGGTAGCAAAGCCATCCTGATGCTGAGTTTATACTCCTGCCCTGGGGCCTCTCTGGCAGATTTCTGTCTATAGTATGTACTAGGCACTGTCCAGATCCTCAATGGATTTGAAAACTACTAACAAAAGGACAGGCATGCAATGGGGGTGGGGCAGGGACTGTGCAAAATAGCAAGGCTGCAGTGGGGTACGGGCCGCAGCCGCAGCGTGGAGGAGCTTTTCTCTGTCCCTGGAAGGACAAGGAATTGAAGCAGCAGATGGGAGATGGAAGCAGGATGGAGGGAAATATTTAAGTGCAAGATACAATGGTGTTCCTATAGATGGATAAATCAATTGTGTGTTGTAAGTCCGTGTGCTGATACATGCTTACTCATATTTATGCATGTCTGTTCATTTTATGGATGTGCTATGAATACTTTACACAGGCAAGCACACATTTTTGCACATATTTTATCACGTAAGTTTCAATGTGCAATTTGTGTATGTTCATGTATAATTTCCATCATAGTGTCATCGTTTCCCAATGCTTTCAACTCAATACAGAGCATCTGTGCACACATGTACACACAAATCCAAACTTGTATGCACATACAAATCGGCGTGAAGAGGTGTGTGCCCTTCTGAATACCATCCCAAGCAGGCTCACCTACGCATACTTACTGGCCTGGAAAAATCCCAGAGCAGTCATAGAGTCTTCAGAAAATTGCCATTTGGTATACAAAGCTGAATAAAGGATTCAAGCAGGTCTAGTTCTGATCTGACTTTGATTCTGAAGCACTGGATTTCTTCTCTTCACTGTGACCAGCTTTATACACACATTTACATTTGCACCCATACTGGTATAGTTCTGTTATGGATTACAGTTTAGCAGCATCAGCATAATTGGATAGGCCTGCGGGAAGCACAAATCTGCCAATATGTGCACACATCTAAAATCATGTACAAATATATATACACATGAAAATGCCTGTGTTCACATCTCAGTGTATGTGTAATTGCATGTGCAAATGCCACATGCAGGAAATAAGCATCTAGATTTACACAGAGATGTGTGCAATGAAAATGTGTTTTCTTCTGCCATTAGGAGAGGAAGGCTGTTGCTGGGAAAACTGATGATGGGAGTTCAGTGTGTGTGTGTGTTGGGGGAGCTCTGTGTTCCTCCTGAACCCCAGCACAGCTAGAGCACTAGCCTCTGATGTACAAGAAAGACAAGGCTTTACGTGCTTGGGTGTGTGAGCTGAGGGATTAAGAATGCACATGTGTCTATTCGTGTGTTGGATGTGCTTTGAAGAAGAGATGTCATCACTTGACTGAGGGGTGCTTTACAACACTTAGAGTCCTACTAGAGTTAAGGGCCATACACATGCCTGATGCAAGACATTTTGCTGCTCCAACGGTAGCCCAAATAGTGCTTTCATCTGTCCTGCCCCCTCATGGTACTGCCTGAGGCAGATGCTCCTGCCTGCTGCGTGGCAGGGCTGCTCTTGGGGAGGGGCGTGGCTGTGGTGCTGCCTGGAGTTGCATTTGGGCATATTGAGGTGCTTGAGGCACTCCAAGGGTGTGCCTGGAGCACAGGTCCTGGGATTTGGCATGGGGAGTCAGACGTGCAATGCACTCGTTGATGCTGCTGCAGTAATGGAGCAGGGGTAGGTTTGCTGGCGAATGGCAGCACACAAGATCTGCTTTTGGTGGAATGTTTTGATGCTGTAGCTTTTCAGGGAAGGTGCAGCTGATACAGCACCTATTGGACCAGTACGGTTTCTGGCCATGTATATCGGAATGATGATGTGGGCTTTGCATATGGGGAGGGGGCTGTGATGGTCGTTTGGCACATACCAGATCCCACTGCCCATCAAACCCTTCCCAGTCCCTTTGCTGGCAGCAGTGGTGTAACTGATATCACAGCCCTCTCTGAGACATTCTGCCATTTGTATGCCAGCTGAATACCATTTCTTGTGACTGCAGAGGGGCCATTGCACAAGCCCCATGGTCCCCAGTGCATGCTGCCTACAGAGAGAGGTTTACAACGAAGGTGCAGCACCCCCGGCCTTTTGTCCCTACTTGAGGCCTGTAGGGATGCGACCTGTATATCTTCATGCAGGGGAATAAAGGTTCATCATGTGGGCAGCTACCAGGATAACCCGGGGACAAACATTCCAAAGCAGGAGGGAATCGGGAATGAAAAGCCCAGTTAGTGCGCAGAATGGTTTGGTGCACCTGTTTTATACGGAAGGGGCTAGAGAATAATGAGAGAGGATAATTTTTCACTCCCACGGATTAAACAGAGCAGGCTTGGACTGTGAATCTGCTATTATAAACACAGACAAATGGGTGAACAGACAGACAATGGTTTTATTCTCGTCCCTTCCCACTGTTGATTCTCAACACCGCCAGAGTCAAGAATGTCTCTCCTACTCTGATTATGAGCTAGCCGAGGGTAACACGAGCTCTACTGGAAGATGGAAGTAGGGAAACACAGACCCTTGCTATAAGTGCTGCACCCCCCAGTTACAGAAAGACCGTCCCATGCGCTCTTTCTATTAGGTATATTATGGTCTGTGTAGCAATGATTCCCAGCTCCATGAATGGCCATTTGGGTCTCGGGGAAAATGCATGGGTGCAGGCATACGTGCAGCTCCACTTGTGTGTGCATACGAGTATGTCGAAGGCTTCTTGAGCCCGCCTGGGTGTTGGGCAAGGGCAGGGAGAGCAGAGTTCAAATCGACACTTGGTCATGAAACTACCTGCAGCTCTGGGGTCAGTCGCTCCCAGGCTGAACTATCTAGCTGGGCTGCTGTGAGGATCCTGTGAAGGAGGGGAGCACCACGCAAACCACCCTGAGCTCTGTGGAGGACGGGTGGGATGTACAAAGCAATAAATCAATTAAAATATGCTCTGTGAACACTGTCTTTTGTGGCGAGGGCACTAGTGAAACTGTCCCTCTTCAGAACTTTGACCATTAGAACTGCCTCAGGAAGGAGATGATAAAATATCGGAATCCCACCATCAATTTGCTATGGGATGGACCCCACCCTACAGTCATTGCTTTTCTCTTCCGAGTAGGCAGCATTCAGGGGCATTGCTTCCACTAGGGATGTACAGATTTTGTTAGATCCATTCTGTCTGCCTTTGAGGGAGTTCCAGGCATCATTTAATCCATCATCCACTCATTGATGGGATCAGACATTTTTTTAAACTAGAATGTTGTTCTGTGTATGCTAATTTGCATGAGTGCCAGTGTGCATTAACTAATGCACATTAGCTCTATCTCGAATTAGCACCAATTTTCCCCAAAAGTGAAAAACTGGTCTGCAAGTCTGTAGAATCCACACATCTTGGGAAAAGCTGGTCCACTGTGGAATCCACAGGTTGGATTCTCAGAAAAGTAAACTCATCTGAATCCGTTGCGGATATCTTAAGCATCCCTAGCTTCTACGGACTAGGGCCCCACCCACAATGTATGATATTACCCTGTATCCACCCCCTCCCTGATTTTCCCCATGCACCATAATTCCCTTAATCCACCCACCCTCTTAGCATCACATTGACCCATGGTGGTGGGGGGAGGAGACAGAATTGCCCCCTCCCCACAGTTTTTTCTGTTCCAGCCTTAATTAATTGGAACTTGTGGAAGGGACCCCCTAGAGGTCCAGGGAGGTGGTAAAGCCAAGGAGAATAAAAGCTGACCCAGAGGGGGAAGGGTTTGGGTAGGCAAAAGAGGGGAGAAAACAGGAGCCAGGATGACTCAATCCGGGTAGATGATGAACCCCGAGAAGGTGCTGTACTTGTTGGTGTTGCCCCCATGCACCTTCCCTCCATCCAGCTTGATGAAGACTTCATCGCCCACATCTAGGTGCAGGATCACGCTGTTGCTCGCATAATCATAGTTCTGGTCAGCATCCTGTGCAATGGCACTGGCCCGGACCTATGAAAGAGAAGAGGGGGTGAGGCGGCAATGGAGCAGAGCTCTTTCAAGGGCTGGGGCGCTGCAGGGTCTGTTTTAACCACGTTAATCCCAACATTCCTGCCAATAAGCTAGATTCCACGGCCTCGCTAAATGATAGCAAGTATTTGCACCTGCCATCCATGGGGAGAGTGACAGAACTATGCAGTGCGTAGAAATGAGGGCCACTGACTACCCCCCACAGTCTCCTAGACTTCAGCCTGGGAGATGGATGATATTTTTCAAGAGAGTTGGAAGTAGGTTGAGAAAGGTGTTGCTTCCCTTGGCATGTGTTCATGTATTTCTTTTAAGCCTTTGTTTCCTCTTGCTAAACAGGTCTTGAACAGGCAAAAGTAGTGGGATGAGCACATATCAAACTTGTTTTTAGTTTGCCGAAATGTACCAAGGCCCAGCTTCTCCCAGGCACCATCTTTTTCTCCACTCAAGCTTCCTTAGCTTGTAAATGAGAGAGGAAAGAGGAAGGTGACCCAAGGTACTTTTTTTTTCTTTTTTGAAGAGTGCTTTTTATGCTTTTGTATAGTTCTTGGTTGCTTCATGTTAGCTCCTGATTCAATCTATGGCTGTTAGGAGGCTAGTAGGTACCAGCATGGCTTGCATGGAGTGGTGAAATTTTCAACATGGAGAAAAGTTGAATCCTATGGATAAATCATGCAGGTTTTCCTTAGTAATGCAAGCTGTAGAATCGAGCTTTCAAATTGTACTGGTGGGGCAGGAACTAAGCAGGGCCTTGAGGTCTCCACTCCTCACATGGGAACACTGAATGCAGCCACCCCTCTGGTTTCTGAGATCTGACCTGGCACTGTCCAAGCCCATTCAAATCTAAGAGCCTGTTGGATGGTGCAACCATGTCTAACCTTGCCCAGCAATCATGCCTCAACCTTGCCTTTTTACAAATGGTTCATTCATCTCCTAAAGTATGGCACCTCCAACCACTACCGCATATGTTATGAGTTACCAATCCATGAGAGAAAATGCACATTGTTCCATGTTGCTTCCTATTGCAACCTGGAATTATCTTGTGGATAATTGTGGGGCCTGCAATCGGAAGTAATGGCTAAATGAGGGACGGTTGCATAGAATGTTCTCAGGCTCAGGAGCAGAAACTTCAAGGCCCTGCCTAGCTGCTGCCCCACCCATAAGATTAAGGCATAATTGCCTGTTTCTCCATCACAACATCTTTCTGCTGTTATTGCATATGGCTGAACCCACCACCTGCATTGGCCGCTGCGGTCAATGCACCGAGACTGCCGTGCGGTGCTGTATTCTCAGGGGCATGTGTGATGTGCAACTGAACAAGCCAAATCCTGCACAGCTAAATAATACAAACATATTTATTTTCTTTAGTTATTATATTTATACTCCACTTTTCTCACAAGGAACTCAAAGTGCTTACAGAATCTTCCTCTCCACAGCAACAGCCCTTTGAGGTAGGTTAGGCTGAGAGTCAGCAGCTGACCCAAAGACACCCAGTGAGCTTCCAGCTTATCCTGACGCTCAGTCCAGCAAGCTAACCATTGGGCCACTATTTATTGTGCAGTGTGCTATGGAAGGACAAGAAGTAATGTGTTCTTTTGAGTGTTGGCATCCGGCTAGACCAGTTTGCTGGCTTCTGAAATGTTTTGAAGCAGTCAATGCCTCTGTCTCTTTTGAGGTTTTTCTCCTCACTGGGATAGCCTGAGATGCTTTAGGGGAAAAACCACAAACATTAATGCTGACATGCTCAGGATGCTGAATTCTGTTCCAGGTATAATATAGCGCACTTGTGTGGTGGTGTGATCATAGACCTGTGTAACTAATATAGCTCTGAGCATAGCAAGCAGCTATTAATCTAGCAATAGCAGAGAATAATTGTAAATTGATGATGAGAAGCAGTGGCAAGAGCTGGGGCGAGTTCAGGCATCTGCCTGTACATCCTAAATGGCCATTACTTCTACGACCCGTCCCACATATGCCGAGGCCTCTAGAAACGTCATTCTTGGAACGTCTGCCTGAGATCCTTTTCCTATAACCACCTGCAAATACCAGACAGCATTATTTTTGCTGCATCTGCACAACAGCACAAGATAATTTCAGAAGGCGGGATTACCTATTCTGGCCAATGTAGCTCTCCTGTTTGCATTCCAATTAATCTAAGCAAAATGGGCCGCCACATGTGTAAAGATGATCAGGCTGTTGCCACAAGCCTATGCACCTCTGGCTCTCCAGATGTTTGGATTGCAGCTCATATCATCCCTCAACATTGGCAATGCTGGCTATGGCTGCTGGGAATTGCATTTGGAGGGCCAGACATTCCCCACCCCGATCTAGAAGAAAGTCTCATTCCATTGAGTAAAACCTACTTCTGAGAGAGCATCCATAGAGCTGGGCTTCATGTCTTTAAGGTTTTTGCTTCAGGGCTGTTATAGAAGGGAAAACTTTCAACTGGCATTTTTGGAATCTGTTTCAGCAATATGATACGGCATATTTGGTAAAGATACATTTTCCCAACTGCATCGGGTGCCTGAGGGTAGTTTTGTACCTTGCTTAGTTTTTCCTGCAGCCTCTTCCCTCCAAGATTTCATGCAGCCTTAATTGTTATACCGATGCCTGCTGGTTTGCCGCTTTCTCCTCAGCAGAGACACAAATCAAGGCTTCATTCATCAGATAATGTGTATGAACAGAGTGTTCTTGCCCAAGTGAACCAGCCCACCAGATTCTCAGAGTTGTTCTGACTTATAAATAAAGCATGAAGAAAGATTAAGATGGCCAAGGCTGTTTACCTAAGTGAGAAAACAATTAAGAGGGGACTTGATCAAAAAGCATAAAAACCGCCTGGCTTCAAACACAAGCTGAGGCTGCAATAGCTTCACAAAGCCAAATGAGAAGGACACACTGGGAGATATTTCAAGATGCTTCCTCCAACCTCATGCCTTCCAGATGTAGAAGAGTATAATTCCCAGCATGCCCTCGGAAGGCACAAGGTTGGGCAAGTTTGGTTTAAAGCCTCTCATCAGTTTGGTGTATCTTCTCTGTCCTTGGATGCCACAGGAGACCTGGGTGTCCTGAGCGTTCTGAAATTCCCATTTTCCATGTCGTCATGCTCTGAAGAGCTTTTTTAAAATTACTGCTTGCATAGACTTCCATTGCAGGGCTGGGCAGAGCAAGCATGCGTGACTGCTGCCCCTGATATAGGAGTGATGGCCTCCAGTCCTATGCCTCCACTATTATGGGTGGGGGGGATTGAAGCCCTGCCTACTCTACAAGCCAGAAAGTGGTGGCAGAGGGTGTGCTGCTGCAGAAACCCAAGGACAAGAGACAAAGTTCCTCATATAACCTTCTTTTCTGACCCAGAGTGGTTAAAGCTGCAGTCACATTTTCTTGGCCTGAAATTTAGTTGCAAAGCAAGAGGAAATGCTTGATGGAACTATAATGCAACCGGCCCCAATGCACTAAGGTTTTTCCCTACTAGGGAGATGTCATTGGAACTGGAACCCATTGCCACAGGTCTGTGGCATTCCTGAGTTTTTGCAGGTGAGTCCGATACTTGCAGCTGAGCCCTTTGTGATAGCCGGGGCTGCTTTTAGCCTTCTCTATGTAGCTGCCTGTAAAGCTGTAACCACTGATATCTTGAAGAGTGATGTACTTTATAACTCTGAGGGCTGAACTGAACTGGTTCTTAGGAATTTGGGTGGTATCCTTGTGCAAATCAGATTGCTCCTCTATAACTGCCTGCAGATAAAGTTTCATCTTCCTACTTCGTACAGCTCAGAGTCGAGGTATTGGTTTTAAATTGTAAAGCCCTAAGCAGCTGAAGGCATGGCTGCTTAAGAGACCACCTGTCTTGCTGTGAACTTGCTCTAGGATCAGCAGGAAAGGCCTCCTGGGGGGCACTGTGGCTTGCAGAGGGTCTTTTGTTGTGCATGCATGAAAGGCCTTCTTTTGCATTGCTCTCTGAGACCATGGGATGTGCTCCCTCAAGAACTAGGATTGTCCCCCAACCCTTCTCTCTCAGATTTTTCAAAAGTGGTGAAGAAGTATCTTTTTATTTTAGCATTTTAAATTGTTTCTGCTGGGTTCATGTTTTAATAGGACTTTGTTTTTAATTTTAATCATGTTATTATTTTGCTGTATAGTGTTTTAGTTACTTATGGAAAGGCAGTTTAGAAAAACTGCAAATCAGCAGAAGTTGTTGGGCATCTATACCCAAACACACGGACCCAGATCTTTTTAGTCCTCCTCTTCTATAGGTAAGAAGCAGATGCTATGAGACATCAGACAAATTCACTTGACAGAGATGCCCACAAGAAGCCAGGGTGGGAAGGCTGTTGGGTGAACCACCCATAGTGTGGCCAAGAGACAATCAGATCACGGTGGGTTGTTTGCCCTCTCTATCCGCCTCTTTCTTCCTCAGTCATTCCTGGATATTGCAGGAGAGATAACAGCAGGACTGGCTGGTCTTCCCGTTTCCACTGTATTTACAAAATGTTTTCAGCTCGCTGAGGCTTTTTTCCCCCTTTCCCCTTTTCTTCCTGGAGATTGTAATCTCTGGTTTGACAGTCAGCTTTTACAATCCCCATTTTGACAATAAGTGACAACCCCTTCACGTGTGGCACCTTGGAGGGGCTGTCCTTCATTGCAAACCAATTTAAAGTTTTGTTCTGAATTGCCTAATGTACACAAATGTTTTCACACAGTATTTTTAAAAAACTATTTTGGACTTTCACAGGAGTGCGCCCAAGTATTTACAGACATCTGAAAAGGGGCAGGCTCACTGGGGCAATGTCCAGGGAGGTACCTGCTTCCAAGATTCATCAAATATCGGTGCTGGATATTGTCCCAGAGAGGTTCGCAATAACCTCCCCCACACTTTGGTTTATTTTGACAGCGGCCAAGCCAAACCAAAATACAAGTGATCCATGCTTGCAAGAAGCAAATGGTGGCATGTACATCCCCCTTGAGGCAAGATCCTCAATTTTTCTGGG